CGACATCCGGGAAGAACCGGAAGTGGAACCGTGAGGGGAAGAAGGAGCCGCCGCAAAATGGCGGCGCTGGGGCTGCGGGCCCCGCCGCTGCTCCCGTGGCCACCGAGACATCCTGAACGGGGAGAGGCGTGGCTATGCAAATCAGCTCTTATAGCACCAATATAGAGATTCTAGGTGGAGGCGTGGCTATGCAAATCACTCCTATTAACACTAATAACTCGTTTTCTGGCTATTCAAATGAACCCGCTACCCACACTGCCCCGCGGCAGCACCGGAAGTGGAACCGTGAGGGGAGGAAGGAGCGGTCACAAAATGGCGGCGCTGGGGCTGGGGGCCCCGCCGCTGCTCCGGTGGCCACCGAGATATCCTGAACGGGGAGGGGCGTGGCTATGCAAATCACGCCTTATAGCACCAATATAGATATTCTAGATGGAGGCGTGGCTATGCAAATCACTCTCATTAACTAATACTTCGTTTTTTAGCTGGAGGGCGTGGCTATTCAAATGAACCCGCTACCCACACTGCCCCGCGGCGACATCCGGGAAGAACCGGAAGTGGAACCGTGAGGGGAAGAAGGAGCCGCCGCAAAATGGCGGCGCTGGGGCTGCGGGCCCCGCCGCTGCTCCCGTGGCCACCGAGACATCCTGAACGGGGAGAGGCGTGGCTATGCAAATCAGCTCTTATAGCACCAATATAGAGATTCTAGGTGGAGGCGTGGCTATGCAAATCACTCCTATTAACACTAATAACTCGTTTTCTGGCTATTCAAATGAACCCGCTACCCACACTGCCCCGCGGCGACATCCGGGAAGAACCGGAAGTGGAACCGTGAGGGGAAGAAGGAGCCGCCGCAAAATGGCGGCGCTGGGGCTGCGGGCCCCGCCGCTGCTCCCGTGGCCACCGAGACATCCTGAACGGGGAGAGGCGTGGCTATGCAAATCAGCTCTTATAGCACCAATATAGAGATTCTAGGTGGAGGCGTGGCTATGCAAATCACTCCTATTAACACTAATAACTCGTTTTCTGGCTATTCAAATGAACCCGCTACCCACACTGCCCCGCGGCGACATCCGGGAAGAACCGGAAGTGGAACCGTGAGGGGAAGAAGAAGCCGCCGCAAAATGGCGGCGCTGGGGCTGCGGGCCCCGCCGCTGCTCCCGTGGCCACCGAGACATCCTGAACGGGGAGAGGCGTGGCTATGCAAATCAGCTCTTATAGCACCAATATAGAGATTCTAGGTGGAGGCGTGGCTATGCAAATCACTCCTATTAACACTAATAACTCGTTTTCTGGCTATTCAAATGAACCCGCTACCCACACTGCCCCGCGGCGACATCCGGGAAGAACCGGAAGTGGAACCGTGAGGGGAAGAAGAAGCCGCCGCAAAATGGCGGCGCTGGGGCTGCGGGCCCCGCCGCTGCTCCCGTGGCCACCGAGACATCCTGAACGGGGAGAGGCGTGGCTATGCAAATCAGCTCTTATAGCACCAATATAGAGATTCTAGGTGGAGGCGTGGCTATGCAAATCACTCCTATTAACACTAATAACTCGTTTTCTGGCTATTCAAATGAACCCGCTACCCACACTGCCCCGCGGCGACATCCGGGAAGAACCGGAAGTGGAACCGTGAGGGGAAGAAGAAGCCGCCGCAAAATGGCGGCGCTGGGGCTGCGGGCCCCGCCGCTGCTTGGGATATCGCGATATGGGGATGTCGGGGCGCTGGGATATCGCGATATGGGGATGTCGGGGCGGTGGGATATCGCGATATGGGGATGTCGGGACGGTGGGATATCGCGATATGGGGGTGTCGGGCAAGGGGGATATCGCGATATGGGGGTGTTGGGAGAGTGGGATATCGCGATATGGGGATGTCGGGGCGGTGGGATATCGCGATATGAGGATATCAGGAGATCAGGACATTGGGCTGTCACGATACTGGGAGACTGGGATATCGCGATATCAGGGTGTCGCGATATCGGGGTATCGGGATATCGGGGCGTCACGATACGGGGACAGCGGGATGTCGCGATGTCGGGACGCGAGGGCGTCGGGATATCGGGATATCGCGATACGGGGGAACTGAGGCGCTGGGGTATCGCGATACCGGGACAGCGGGATGCTGCGATGTCGCGATATCGGGACGTTGGAATATCAGGACAGCGAGATATCGCGATATCGGGCTGTCGGGCCATTGGGCTGTCGCGATATTGGGACGTGGGGACAGCGGGATATCGCGACATCGAGACATTGCGATGTGGCAACATATCGCGATATGGGGGTGCTGGGCTGGGGCGGTATCACAACATATCGCGATATGGGGGCGCTGGGCTGGGGCGGTATCACGATCTATCGCGATATGGGGACGCTGGGCTGGGGCGATGTCACGACATATCGCGATATGGGGGCGCTGGGCTGGGGCGACCTTGCGATATATCACGATATATTGTGGTATGTCACGATATATCGTGATATATCACAGTATATGGCGATGCGTCGTGATATATCGCGGTGTATCGCGATATGTCGCGACACGGCCCCTCCCCCCGCAGAGGGCGGCGCGGATCCGGCGCTGAACCCCGGCCTGGCGGCGGTGGTGGCGCAGTGCCGGACACTGAACGTCCCCAAGGCCACCATCGAGGGAGCGCTGCGGTCAGTCAGGGTGAGTGACCCCCGAGTGACCGCTGAGTGACCACTGAGTGACCACTGAGTGACCAATGACCATCCCATTGACCACCCCTGAGTGACCACTGACCGCCCAGTGCCGGACACTGAACGTCCCCAAGGCCACGTGACCACGGGCCGCCCCTGAGTGACCACTGAGTGACCACTGAGTGACCGCTGAGTGACCACTGAGTGACCACTGAGTGACCAATGAGTGATCAATGAGTGACCACTGACCGCCCCTGAGTGACCAATGAGTGACCAATGAGTGACCACTGACCATCCCAGTGACCATTGAGTGACCCCTGACTACCGTAGTGACCACTGAATGACCTCTAAGTGACCACTGAGTGACCCCTGACCACCCCTGAGTGACCACTGAGTGACCACTGACCATCCCACTGACCACTCCTGAGTGACCCCTGACCATCATAGTGACCCCTGAGTGACCCCTGAGTGACCACTGAACGACCCTGACCACTGAGTGACCGCTGCCCACTCCTGAGTGACCCCTGACCATCATAGTGACCACTAAATGACGCCTGAGTGACCACTGAACGACCCTGACCCCCGAGTGACCGCTGCCCGCACCCTCCGGCCACAGGGTCACTCAGCACTGACCGCTGCCCGCTCTCTCCGGCCACAGGAGCGTCCGGCCGGGGGGTCGCAGGTGCTGCTGACCGCTCGGGGCCCGGGGGGGTCACTCGTGCTGCTGGACGTCCGAACCGACAACGTCCGGCGCAGCCAGGCCGAGCTCCGGACACTGCTGGGCCGCCACGGGTCAGTGCTGACCGCTGAGTGACCACTGAGTGACCCCTGAGTGACCGCTGAGTGACCCTGAGTGACCACTGAGTGACCCCTGAGTGACCCTGAGTGACCGCTGAGTGACCCCTGAGTGACCACTGACCATCCCACTGACCACCCCTGAGTGACCACTGACCACCCCAGACTGACCAATGAATGACCAGTGAGTGACCACTGACCATCCTAGTGACCTCTGAGTGACCACTGACCGCCCCTGAGT